GAACTCGCAGAGAACTCTCGGAGACATCTCACAACTCGCAGAGAACTCTCGCCGCGAATTTTGCGAGCTTCTCGCGCACGAGAACTCTCCAGGAACTCGCAGAGAACTCTCGCCGCGAATTTTGCAAGTTCCCTGCGCATGAGAACTCGCGGGGAACCCGCAAAGAGCTCTCGCTGAGAATTTTGCGAGTTCTCTGCGCATGAGAACTCTTAGGAAACTCGTAGAGAACTCTCATTGCGAATTTTGCGAGTTCCCTGAGGAACTGAGGAAAAAAGGAAGCAAAATGATATTCCTGACTAATTATTTCACTATACAATTATAGTTTCAAATACTACATATTTATCTATCGCGCACGAGAACTCTCCAGGAACTCGCAGAGAACTCTCGCCGCTAATTTTGCAAGTTCCCTGCGCATGAGAACTCTCGGGGAACTCGCAAAGAGCTCTCGCTGAGAATTTCGCGAGTTCTCTGCGCATGAGAACTCTTAGGAAACTCGCAGCGAACGCTCACTCCGAATTTTGCGAGTTCCCTGAGGAACTGAGGAAAAAAGGAAGCAAAATGATATTCCCGACTATAATTATTTCACTATACAATTATAGTTTCAAATACTACATATTTATCTATCAGTGCTCGTTGGCAGACGAGCACCGCGCTCGAAATTTGGCCGCGCCAGCGACTTCCTTCCCCGAGGATGCACCGAGAACACGTGCGGCGACCCCGACGCACCCCTGTCCTCGCGCGTTTCCCCCGCAACACACGGCGGTCATCCCTTCGCCGAGCGCAGCTCCGTTTTCCCCGTCACCTTTTCCGGCGGTGAGTCGCGACGCGAGGAGGAAGCGGGGAGCGACGGTCCCTCTTCAAGCACGCGCCTCCTCGCTCCTCGCCGTGCCCCTCGTCAGTGAATCGCGAACGACCTGTTCTCCTCCCCTCGCGCCCGTCGTCGGCGCTCGATCCAAAGTCCCCCCCCCCTGCGCCAGCCACCCACTCACCTACCCCGACCCAGTGGCCCGCGGGCCACCCCCACCTCACCCTCGCGGCGCGGCGCGGGGCGGCGCGGCGCCCCCTCGCGCGCGTCGCACGTCTCACCGTCATCGCGCTGGTTCACGCTACGTCAGTCTGTCGGCAACCTGCGTACCAGTCGTGTCGCAGCGCTCACGTAACAAAATTCTTATTATTATTACCCATCACTCTTTACTTGCCTTGAAACTCGGCCGGTGGTGTGTTGATTCTCCGTTTATTCGACTTCGTTGCGCGTGTTTGGTTTCTCGACGCGGCCGTCCCACCTCCCCGCCCTCCGCCGCCCTTTTAATTACGTTCTCACGCTCCGGGAGAACGCTCGCTCTCTCTCGCGCGCGCGCCCCAAGGGAATCGCCGACTCGCCGCCGACTCGCCGCCGCCGCCGCCACCGCTGTGATACGTCCGCGCTCGCGCATGAAACCCGCCGCGACCCGCGATCGCACGCCGCGCACCTTGACGCGGGGCGCACCGATAAAGTGACCGAGAGACCGAAGGCTGTCACGAGGGAGAGAGGGAGAGAGGAGCGCGAAAACGTCAAGTACGAGCCGATCGCCTGCGAGCTTTACCCGATCGCCGCCGCGGCCGCCGGTACCTACGAGCGTCGCTGGTGCTTCGGAGCGGGTCATCTGGCGCGCGGCAGGTCGTACCGCCACTACGCCTCGCGCAACCTCGTCTTCGCCGTAATCGTCGCCGTCGCCGTCGTCCTCTTCGTCGTCGTGGAGTGCAGCCGCGCGGCGCAGGAGCAGCGGCTGCAGCAACAGCAGCGCTGGAGCTCGCCGGACGCGCTCGAATATCCGCTCTTCACCGATAAATGAACCATCCCGCTCGCAGGAGAGACACGTCGGGTGCTGCTGCCCTGCTCTACCTCCTCTACGGCGGGCACGCTGCTGCTGGCGTATCGATTGCTCTAAAATAGACGCGTGGGAACAACACCTGCAGGCCAGGCGTACGGCACACGTACACACATGCCGCTCGCAAGCGCATAAACGCGCGACGGGCCGCACACGCCAGTGTTTCGCGCCTCGTACACATACTCATATATACGCTCGTTCTCTCTCCCTCTCTCTCTCTCTCTCTCCCTCGCTCGCTCGTCCGCTTGTCGTCGCTGCCGCAACTCTCTCGCAGCGGCAAACGTATGACAGGTGCAACGACGGCGACATCGTCGTAGGGTGGTCGGTGGTGGCGCTGGCGAGGAGCTGCAGCAGGAAGCGGAAGAAGAAGTGAGCCGGCGAGGGGTCGCGCGACAAGACGCGCAGGGGCGGAGGAAGAGGTAGAAAGCGCCAGGAAGGAAGAGGAAGAAGAAGAGAAGAAGCCGGCCAGGGTAGAGAGAGAAGGATCGGGTCGGCGAAGGAGAGGAGGCGTGGAGGAGAAACAGGAGGGGGAGGAGGAGGAGGAGGAAGAGGAGGAGGAGGAGGAGGAGGAGGAGGAGGCCGCGGCCCCCGTGTTTCTCGCCGAAGGGAAGGTTATTTTCAAGTGATACGTCCTGGAGGCGCCCGTCGTCTTCGCCGGTACAACCATAACGCCGCCCGCTCTAAAACGACCGAGACGGGACACGGTGGATTCGTCGCCGCCACCCGCTCGTACCGCAGCCCCCGGCAACCCCGGACCGTCCGGCAAACTCGCCTGCATCATGGACGCGCCGCTTTCGCAGAGCATGGACTCCGTCAACACGGTGGCCACCGGCGAAGACGAGGTGGGTGTTATCTTAAGGGTGTTACGCGCGCCGCGGTGTCCCCTGCCCCCTGCCCCCCCCCCACCCCCCTTCCTCCCCCAACCCTCCCGAGAGACGCCGCGCGCGCGCGCGGCGCAGCGCCGGTCCGTGCCGCGTACGATGGCCGAAGGGGTGGGATCCACCCCTTCTGACGCACTCCCTCTCTCCCCTCTCTCTCTCTCTCTCCGCCCCGAGAAGTGCCTTTAACGTTTCACGCGGGATTATCGATGTCCCTGCGCCCCCCTCCCTCCCCGAAAAAGCCCACCCCCTTTCTCTCGCTCGTCTCCTCGCCGAGGGGGAACATTTGGATATCAGATATCGCCTTCTTCTTCTTCTTTCCCGTCTCTCTCTCTCTCTCTCTCTCCCCCTCGCACTTGTGTGTTATCGCCATATTGGTCGCTCCAACCCTCGCGCGTCACAGCGCGCGCAGGCGCGCGGCGAGGGCAGCCGCCGCTGACACGCGCGCGCCTCCGCGCCGCGTGTAGAATGCCGCTCATTAATGATGCACTCGATGCAAGCCCGATGCATCATGCATGCTCGGAATGGTCCAACGTTAGGCATAGCGAATGCATTAAACGGAGGCCGGGGAGAAGGTGTGTGTGCGCCGTTTATAAATTATTATAATTACCGGGACCGCGCGATGTGCTATCATTGAGATCTCCCTAACGCGGTTTTTCTTTTCAGCGGAGACCCCGTGGCGAATCGATTTGCGCCGATCGAGCCGCTCGATTTTAGAAAAAAACAAATGGTCGATCGTCGAACGATCGCGAGAGATATAACAATTTGTATGCGCATCGCCGATGTTGCCGATAATCACTCATTACGCTATTACAGCGGAGGATATCAGATATCCTGAGCAATTCATGGAGATATTAGGAATTAATTGGAATTAATGTATGATCGCGTATCGAGCGGCTTGGCAAAATCGATTATGAAACGTAGGAGCGCGGGGCCGGCAATTACATGTAATTGTACTATCCATTATGCTCGCGCGCGCGCGCGGGGGTTCATCAGGATCCTTTGTTCTTCGCGATCAACCGTAACTATATAATCTTGCGCAATTTTTTGCGACCGCCCGTAACGTAACGTAGTCTCCGGTGGAGCGGGCAGCTGGCGCGTGACGCAACTGTTCGGAGTTGAAACAGTTGTACGACGCAACTGTTCGTGGAGCGGAGGCAAATCGTATCTTTAATTTACGACGTAGTGCGCGCGGTGCGGATCGCGAACTCCGCGGAGAAGTATTACGCGCGCTGGCTATAGCGGGAACTTTGTTTTACATTAATTTTCAAACCGCGCCGCAACCAAGTTTCCGAGCCGTGTCGTTGTACCGCGCGCTCGACGGCAACGGCACACATCGAGAGTGCCGTGAAACTTCTTCTCTCTCTCGCGGAGAGGGAAAAAAGGGGGAAGAAAGTACAAAAACGGCGGGCAGGTCTCGCGGAAAAAAAAGCGTACTTGCGCTACGTTAAAGTTTCACGCGTTTCATTCGTCGAAATGTTTCATCTTTTAGCGTTTCGCGGCACACATCGCCGGTTTCTTCGAAAGCCTAATCCGCAGTGTGCCCTTTGCGTTTAGAAACATTCTAGTTTGTAGTCAGCAAGTACATTTAGGGCCAGTTTCGCAAACGTCGGTTAACTGCTATCCGAAGGTTAATTGATTCTCTGTCTCTTCTTCAATGATAAGATAGAAGAAAATGGGGAGTCGGCTGAACCCTAGTTAACAGTTAACCGAGGTTTGCGAAACTGGCCCTTAGGTCCGGGTTTCCATTTTCTCGTTAACTGTCAGCCGTAAGTTAGTCGACTTTCTATCTTTCTCTATGTTATTATCTGAGAGGCGACGGAGTTGACTAACTTCTGGTTAACCGATGTTTCGTAAGCATCGGTTAACTGCTAACCGAAGGTTAATTGATTCTCTGTCTCTTCTTAAATAATAAGATGGAAAAAAAGATGGGGAGTAGACTGAACTGCGGTTAACAGTTAACCGACGCTTGTGAAATCGGCCCCCAAAAAATTTGCACAGGTGGACAAATTGCATATTATACGTTCTACAGTCGTACATTGTCGACGAACTTTTTAAGCGGTTCGATTTATTTATGGAGGAAAGTCGTCTATCATGATGTAGGATTCTAATATGAGACAGCAGGTTTTCAACGTCCAAATTCAATCGCAAATCTTTCTTCGCGACGATTACGCGACCTAACAATCAATTTGCCAGGACAGTAGTCCAAGGACAATAGATTCATGGCGGAACCAACAGATGATGCCCTTTAATTTAAGCAGACTCCGCTATCTCATAATAGGGGACTTTCCTGTATAAAATCTAATGTTCCTAGATGCAGAGAGCGCATTGTAGATTAGGCTTGAGGCAAGTTACAAATTAATAAAACTGGTATGGCTCAAATGTGATAAACGCAAATTTGAAGGAATACAAATGCTGTTGCAAATTACAAATGTTTCGTTCTTAAAACGAGATTCTTTAGAGACACGCGTATTCGCGTCCCAAATAACAAATCGATAGGCACATCGGAAAATTTTACGGCTCTATTGATTATCACTGCAAACGTATCCTTAACTAAACAGACGCCGTGAGACACAACGAAACAGCTATAAAAATATTAACAAGTCGCGAATTCAAGAATTGGTACGAAGGCTCTAGCCGAGCAGCGATAGATGAATTTATCGAGCTACAAAAGCGATTGTTTCCCGAGGGACAATTATCAAATCGTGAAAATCTATTTATTACCAGCACACGTACGCATGCGTTACTAAATTACAGCGGTTGCCCTCGCGGCCACGTAAACGTGGAGAGAGCGTCTAATCGATTATCGGTCCAATTTAACGGAAACTCTTTATCAGTAGGGCCAAAATTCTGCGGCTCGGGCGGGCTCGAAATTTAGGCAGGCTCCTGCGATCTCGGAGAAGCTGCAGTCCTGGCGCCGCCTCGATAAAGCAGCGCAACGCTATCGTTGCGCAGCGGCGCGCACATACACACGTAATATACGCGCGCGCGCGCGTGCGCGCGTGCGTGTGTGTGTGCGTCTCGCGGCGCGGAAGGCGGGAATTCGATCGCGTGCCTGCCACGACGGAGTGTGTGCCTCGCAGGTGACTCGTTTTCACCGGTGCGCGCTCGATCGGACGGCTGCTCGCTCGCTCGCTCGCTCTATCGCCCGCTCCATCCCCTCGTCCGCCGCCAGGCCGGCCTGGCTTCCTTCCTCTAGCAGGCGCAGGCAGGCGGCCACCTGAAAGAGTGACGCCGCCACGCCGCGCCACACTACGCTCGCTATTGATTTTTCCGCGACTGTGCGAGAGGGCCACCGAGGAGGGCCCGCCAGCACGCTGTGTCACATCATACGGGAGGTGGATTACGCCTCGTGTGACGGTAACGTGGGTGCCGAGGACGTGTGCGTGCACGTCGTATACGTGGGCGGCATACGTATGCGCGCTAATCATTTGACTTAGGTCGCAGAGCGTACCGGGTGGCGACCCCAACGAAGCGTAACACACCGGCCATCCGCTTTTTTTTTTGTCACGAAGGGTCAATCGATTCGCGTGTTTGCGATAGACCGGGGGGGGGGAGTCGCGCTCTGCGCCGTCGAGTTTGGGCAAAAACGCCGTTTCTTCCAAGGGGAAAAGTTTCAGGCTTGTGTTTTAAGCCCGCGATACACGCTGCCGATTTAATTCATTTAATTTCGCCCTCTCGATACTTTTTGTCGCGCGGTCTCGTTCATTCACGCCTTAGTCGCTATCGAGTTTACCTGCAACAAGCGGAGATTGCGCAAGCGCGAGCGCGTATTATTTTATTTACCAAAGGAGAAATCGCAGAGTAAATTGTCGTTCGTTTATTAAATTCTTTCACCGATTGATCGGTTTCTTTTCGCGAAGATGTCGGGGAATTTTTTAAATCATTTACCGCGAGTTTTGAATTTGCATCGAGGGGCAAACCGCTGAGGGTATTGTGCACACAGAAAAATATATACTACCTGCAAGTAAAGATTATTTGTTCCAAGTATTTGATAAGTTTATATATCCGCAAATCTATCATAATGTCGTCGCAAGTGTTATATTTCCTCGAAACATATTCTGGTTCTTAGTAAGTCTAGTATTTCAAACAAGAATACATAGAATTATTTGAAGCAAAACAATTTTGTTTCATCTGATTTTATTAAAAGAAGCATACGGAATTCTTCAATAAGTTTTATAATTTTCTTCAAAGAAGAATAAATTCTTTCTTTGAGTATAAGATGGCAAGCTTTTCTAAGACTAGTAACAAGTGTATCTTAAAACTATTATTAAGAAAATATTCTTTGTTAAAGCAAACTATTACTTAAACGGAATAAAATAAACCGAGTAATTACTTTTCTTGACTGTACAATAATATTTTTCTGTGTGTGGTGTAGAGATTTGCGGCATTACTAGGCATTTTCTGAGTATTAGACCTTGCTGGGACATTACAAAGATAAAATAAGATAAAACAAGATAAATAAGCTGTAAAATAAGAAAGTAGGCATTGGTGTACATGAATTTGGTCAGCGGTTTACCTCTCGATTCGCGTCATATTAGATATCGCGCAGCTTAATTCTCGAACCGAGTTTGTCATCGTTTCTGTCTTACAATTAGAATAATTTTTATTGAAGAGCAATCGAATAAATTGAATACGCATTTTGTAAATCTGGAATTTTTTAAAATGTAAATGAAAATTGACTGAAAAGCACATTTTACAAATTGATAATATTTCGTAATTGAGAAACTCGTCTAAATCGCGAAAAAATTATTATTGCGATTATTACGGTGGTCATTAAAATGATGGATTTTCGAGCTTGATTCGTAACGACGAGATAGACGGGGAAATGATAAGTGAATATTTATTCAAACCATTGTTTTGTCGCGGAACATTTCATTCAGTCGGTCTTTCCTCCGGATGACGACACGTTTGCTGCGCGCGGCGAGTTGGCGATTATAACGAGGAAACGCTTTCATGCTTTT